TCTCCAAAAAATCCAAAACTTTGCTAATGAATTGTCAGACTCCAAAATTCAAGAAAGACATGTGGTGATCCTTCCAGGCAGATTTATTTTTGTCCCTCACTCATTGACAGAATCTTGCCAGATTAAAACAGACTGCTAGCCCCGTAAAGCATATACTCTGGGAACTATTATGGAGGAATTGTATTTATCCTCTTTTTCTCATGCAAAATATCTGGTCTGAGTTGTCTCTTGCTCCTCTGGAATGTGCTCCCTCCCCGCTAGGAATCTGGACTATCATGATTTGCAAACCTTGATTTGTGGTCAAACAGTCGCATGGGCCCAATCTCTTATGACTTATTCCATATACCCTAGTTAAGGAAACTGGCTTGTTTCAAAGTGTGACGCTCGTCTCTGAGTCTACGAGCAACACCAGCTGCCTTGTGTCAACCAATAGTGGAACTTTGGAGCAGAAATCCAGAATAAAAAAAAAAATAAAAAAACTTTCGCATTTGCCCAAAAACTGCATGTCATATTTTGAAGTTTCTGAAATAGTTATCACCAAACTACATGCTGCACCTGAAAAGCCTATAAGCCTATTCAAAGCAAGTGAAATAAGTCATATATATTTCCATCTAGGCATGTCTGCTGGTGGTAGTTTAAAAAAAATGGTGATGACACCTGCCTGATGGAAGCCCCTCCCCCTTTTTACATGCATCGCAACATACATAAAAGGGGTGGAGCTGGAGCTACAATCATACAGTTGCAAACATCATTGTGATATTTAAAAAACAAAAACAAACTCAACTCCCCCATTATTGTTACTGTTTAAATGTATCTAAATCCAGATTTTAAAGTAGGGGTCATGAATTTTCCACCAAGAGAATGGATAGAAATCCTGGAAGTCAAAGTTAAACATCTGCAGAGTCAAAGTATGCGTTCATAATGAAGTGTTTACAGTAGATTTTATTGTTTATATTTTTGTAGGGCACCTATACATTGGAACATGATGCATATGAACAATAGTGGCAATTATATGAGCCATTAGGTGCAATGCAGCAGACATCTGCAATTTTTATGTGGGAGGAAAGATTCAGAGCAAGGCTTAGAAGCAAGTGTAACTACACGGTTGTACAAAATAGTTGAAGTTCCTTAGCTAAATATCAAAGACATGGAGGCAGATACTATCCTTTTAAAGTCTGCCTCTCCCAGCAATTGCAGTATAGAAGCAGGGCTTTTTTTCTCATAGAACGCCCAGAATGGAGTTCCAGCACCTTTTTTGGATGGAACCTCGTAGGGTAGGCAAGGCGGGTTGTATGACGTGTGTGAATTCCGGCACCTTTTTTTTTTTTTAAGAAAAAAAGCAGTGTATGTTGCTTGTAAAATGAATCTTTTAATCACTATGATCAATAATTAGATTACTCCTTGAGAAACACCAATGCAGGAAGTTTCCTGAGCTCATGGAATATCACTGGTCAACTTCTTGGGAATTGAGGATCTTGCCCAGTCTGAATCACAGAAAGTGGGACAAAGATGCAAAATCGACAGAGGCAATTCTTTTCTTGTTTTGTTTTGTTTTTTTCAGACCACAACAAATCCTAGAGCCGCAAGTGATATGGAAAACACTTCATTGCAGTCCAAGTATAGAAGCCCTAGAATTGAATTTCTGAATCAGATCTCCCCATTCTCAGGATGTATTATCCATATGAACCTTGAACGCGAACAAGCTGAACGAGTAGATGCAATGTTTGTCTGTCAATTCCTACTGTACATCCTGTCAATTTCATTTGATTTTTTTGAGTTCTCTTGGCAACTAAAGCATTTTCTCTCTTCCCCAAGGCCAGACTATGAAAAATATTGTTGCTTTATGTGGAAGAGTGCATGCAGAGTAATTGTAGCTGGCCAAGTTATTTTGCACAAGATACTTCCTTTTTCCTGGGAGTAAATATGTAATAAAGCATACGACTCACAATCTACTGCTCCATCAAGGACAGCTAGAACCAGCTGAGATAATTGCTTCCCTCTGCCTAATGGTAGGGCTGGAGGTAGAATTGCTTGGTCATTGTGCCATGAATGCAGGTTGCCATCTAAGCAACATTATTCAGTGAACACTTCACAGAAAGATTTGCTGAAAAAAATGTTTTCTATCGATTTCTATGGTTTCTATGAATTTTGCACACAGAAAACTCTGCACGGGAAGCTGTCACAGTATCTTTCACTTTAACAAGATGGAACATCTCTATCTAGTCATTTTATTTCTGGGACTACTTTAGCAATCATGGCTTCTTTAATTCAGCCATTGGGCTATCGTAATATAAATTCAAAACCCCATGGAAGTCAATGAGTCCATTTTTAACATCTTTTAAGATGAGCCATAGGTTGTATAAAGATACACAAAGAGAAATTGGGTGTTTATAAGAAATACAAAGCCAACAAAGCTCATCTTTAATATATCAAAAGTCCTTGATTAAGATATTTCCAGATCAGCACGTGAAAGAGTCCTATCTGAAACTCTGAAGCCATGTTTAGCATGAGTCTATTAAGACAATAATGACTTAGTTGGACCAGTACAAAGAAATTTCACACTTCTGGGGATTATTGTTAGGTCTGCTATTTGAATATAGCCAGCCTGCCTCTGTTATTTGGTTTCAGCAGCAGATGGCAGCATCCAGGACACCTTAGCTGATCTAAAACAAATGGTGAGCAGGAGAACATGGCTCTCTTAGTGCTTGGACAGGAAGCCATCAGGAAATCTAAACTAGTCTGAGAAGCCAACCAGATTCTTGAAGAAGGCAATGGGAAACCATTTCCATGTTGTTAACAAGAAAATAATTATGGACATATCTATGTTGTCATCAGAACTTGAGCCCATGTCAAGGAACCTTTAAAGTATGTCTGAAGATGCCCAGTATTGAGATAAGAATTAGTGTATTGAGGAAACATTCCCTCCAACACATGAAATGTGGGATTAAGTAATCTCCTATAAAAATCTCTCTTGAAAGATCTTCTCTCTCCCCCATCCCCCATTCTAATGCACATCATTTCTGGACCAAGCTATCTGCAGGGTTTTTCATAGGGGCATCTGGCAGCATTTCTTCACCCATGTTAAAGAATATTAGGGCTATTTACCTCCTACTGGCGTTGCCATTATGACCTGAGCAAATGTCTTACCCATTGTACAAAATACACACAAAGGTTTTTGCTATTTGGACATGGCGGCTTCCTTCATGTCTCTAGGCCAGCCTTTCTCCGCTTGGACATTCTTATTGTTTCGGACTACAAATCCCATCAACTCAGTGAATTAAAGACACAAATGTAACTGGGAAAAACATACGTTCTATTGTGTGCATCTCCAGAACACAAAATCAGATTTCAGTGAGCTACAAACCTGGCTGGACAGACCAGCATTGACTCCGAGTTAGGAGGATCTTCTATAGCAGCGGTCCCCAACCTTGCTGGCACCAAGGACCAGTTTTGTGGAAGACAATTTTTCCATGGACCAGGGTGAGGTGGGGGGATGGTTTCATGTGCAATCTAGATCTGACGCATGTGCAGATAAAGCTTCGTTCCCTCACCCGTTGCTTCTGTGGCCCGGTTCCCAACAGGCTGCGGACCGGTACAGGTCCAGGGCCCAGAGATTGGGGGCCTCTATTCTACAGAACTTCTCCAACAGAAGGTTGGGCAAATACGCACAAGAAACAGGATCTATTTGTCACCAACTATTAGGCAAGGATGGTCCTTAGGGTCCTTAGGATCCAGAACTTTGTATAGTTCTACTCCTTACAGTAGAAAGGAGCTCCAGGACCTCAAAAGGCAGAGGTCCAAAGGACCTCCAATCACATGAGGGATAGATTTGATCCTGTCCTTCTTTCTCTTTCAGCATAAAGCAATTGCTTACCACACAGCTCTGGACCCTGCATCAGGTGGGTGGGGCTTTCTTCTAGCTCAGCTTGCAGCTCAGAGCTCCCCCCTCTCCTTAGCTAGAAAGAAAGGGTATGGGGGGGAGGAGAGGGGGGGGTACTGGCGCTGGGTCTCTTGGTTTTTCCACTGGTCTCCCCAAGACGCCACCCGGATCGTCTTTTTAAAACCTGCCCGGTCGGCCTCAGCCACGTTCAAGCTTTAGATCTGGGTGGGTGGGGCGGACCGGGGAAGGAAGCCTCTTTAGCCCACCTCGCCGGCCTCCAACTCACCTTGTCGTTTAGGTTCTGCAAAGCCTCCTTGCCGGTGCTTCTCCGGATCTCCACCTTCCTGGCCGGCCACGAGGAGGAGGAGGAGGAGGAAGAGGAGACGGCCGGAGCGTCGGGTCCGAGGTGAGCCACGTCCCGCTGCTTGGCCACGATCTTGCCGCCGGTGGGCGAGCCGCGTCCGCTGGAGAGGGAGTCGAAATCGATGGTCTTGTTCTCCAGGGAGCCTTCCACCGGGCAGAACATGCCGCAGAATTTCTGCCGGGGCTTGGGGCTGCCGGAGCCCAGGTTTTTGAAGAAGGCGGGCACTTCCTCCTCCTCCTCACCGCCGCCGCCGCCGCCCCCGGGCTTGGCCGCTTGCCTCTTCTCGGCCATGGCTCGCCCCGGAGGCACGTCTCGCCTCGCCCGGCTCGCTCTGATCCTCTGCTGGCAACGGAAGGAGGCAGGAAGCGTTGGAGAGGGGAGGCCAGCCGGCAGCCTCGAGCTACTAGCGGCTCTCCGGCCCTGGCTAGAAGCGGGGGAGTGGGAGATGGGTGGGTGGGCAGAAGCGAGCCTTTTGTATTACCTCTCCCCGCCTTCCTGGCTCCCAGGCAAGGCAGGTTGAAAGGGGGGGGGGGGAGCCCGGCTCTTCAGAGACACGAAGTTGGGGAGGCTGAGCGCAGAGAAAGGCGTGGAGGGGCGGGCGAAGGTGATGGGGCAGCGCAGCGCAGCGCAGCCGGTGGGAGGGCTGGGTTCAAGTTCCTAGCAGCCGGATGAGGAGGAAGGGGCGGAGGAGGGGGGACAGTGGGCAGGAAAGGAGCGAAGGGAGAGGGAGGGGAAGGAGGGAGGAAGGGAGGGAACGGGTGAGAAAGCCCCACTCACTCTGCAGCAGAAATTAAGGGTTGATCCGGAAATGAGGCGACAGTCGGAACTGGCGAATTGGACTGGACCAGGGGAAGCCCCGGCGCGCTGCAGCTCCTACAAGTGGTAGGGGAAGCGGGGGGGGGGCGGGGAGGTGTCGCAGAAGCTGATGCACTCCCCACCACACACACACACACACACACACACACACACACACACACCTTTCCTGGGAAGCAGACGTCTTCCCTCATTCAGCCACACCCAACTCATGGAAAAGCGGGCGTGGGAATCCTCGGAGCCCACGCCCCTCTCTTTTCCAGGAACGGGTGGAAGAGAGACCCAATTTGGGCACAGGGATCGGTGCGGGAGGGAGGGGTGGAATTACCGAGTCAAAAAGATGGGGTGCCGCTGCAGTGGCATTAGATATTCCTTCCCCCACCCTCTTGCTGCTGGCCCTGGGAAGAAAAATCACTGACAAAGCAAGGGAAGATAATTTCTTGGCCAGCGGCGGGGGGGGGAGGGAGGGAGGGAGGGAAAGTCAATTTTCAGAACACAAATATTTGACCTTGACAAGGCTGTCAAGTGGGTCTCTTTTGTGTGCTAGATAAATCAGCTGCTGGAGGGTGTGTTGAACGGGCATATCTTCCTATGGTTGTTTTGCTCTACAGTGTATTCTTCATTCCTGCCTTCCCCAGCTAAGGTTCCCTTTAGATAGGTTGGGAGTGATTCCTGCTATTCCACCACCCAACATGATCCGTCAAACTTGCCTGAAAACTCCAAGTCAAGGAAGGCAAATCTATTTTTCCAGACAGCTCTTTAAAGTCTTGGGGATGCATTATTTCCAACCCAGTTGTACCTAAAATCCTTCACCCCGCCCCTAAATGCAGTATTGCTGATGTGCAGAGCACATGCTCCGTAATACTGAATTTTGTTTTAACAGTGGGATTAACGGCCGACATCAGGACTTCAAAATCATGTTCTCTCTCTCTCTCTCTCCCTTTCCCTCTCCCCCCTCTCTGTCTTGTAGCCTTTCCCCTCCTTTTATCTTCCATGAGGATGAACTTTGCAGAATTCAAAAGCTTGAACGCGAGTTTGTGACATTTGAACAGATCCGAGAAAATGATATTCCTACAACAGGATTTTAATCCCTTCTTCTGTATGCAGAACAGGGCTGCATTTCCATATTGAAGACGGGGAATAAAACCGCCCCAGCCCTGCACTCATTTGTGAATAGAGCCTTATTCAAACGTCGCCCTAAACACCCTAGCTACTGTATTAGTGGACAAGTCGACCCTCTACTAGTTGAACGAGAGAACGCTTCCTATTTGGGGCCGTCACTGTCGCTGTCCCTTCAGCACCACGCAGAAAGGGAAAACGCTTCTTTCGGAAGTGAGCACAGATTTTTTTATTATTATTATTTGTATTCCGCCTTTGCAAGTAACACAAGGCGGTGAACATATCCAACATACCTTCCTCCGCCTGTTTTCCTCACAACAGCTAATTGTGAAGCGAGTTGGGTGAGGGACAGTGACTATACCAAAGTCAACCAACTGGCTTTCATAACTAAGGAAGGACTAGAGCTCCGTTTCTAGCCTGGTGCCTTAACGACTAGCGGCTAGCTAGCCCAATCTGGCTCTTGGTTAACTATGAAAAGTTAGCTAACCATAGTTATGACTATGGTTATCTTAGCAAATACACATGAGAGAGAGAGAGAGAATCGATCATCCATTTTCTTTGCAGGAAGAGGTCATTTCAACATCATTTATCTCCATTAATTTTCTATTATTGACTAGGCGATTTAGAATTTTCCTATATTATAATTCCAATTAATGAACCTTTGCAGAGTGCAATAAATATGAATATATACTTAAATAGGTCTGTAGACATAGATTTTTTGAAATCCCCAAGATAAGTTGGCTTAAAGCTCTAGACACGCCTTTCACATAAGGTAACTCAGAATGCTGCTCAGATCTATTTTTACTTTTAACCTACATTGTGTTATCCAAATGGATTTCTCCAAGCCACTTATTGCTATGTATTATTCATTATTTGAGATTTATTAATTTAAATTTTCAGTCTGCCTCTCCCCACCACTTTCTCAGCCCCATCATCCACAACACAACAAAACCTTGTTTTTATAATAGGGGACAATGTATATATCAAAATAACTGGAGACACGGGACAAAAAAACTTCCTATTTTAAGAAAAAAGTGACTTTTGAAAAAAAAATTGAGTTGGGGTATGTTCATGCATGTGCTTTGGGGATTAATGAAGAATGCATGTGGGGGTGAAAGTGGTTTATCCCTTTTTTTTTCATCCTTCAAAAAAAATAACAACACCATGGTCTAATGGAGAGTTCTGTTAGTTCAGCTGTTTTGGGAAGGCAGAGGGGAGCATATGGTCTACCAGATACACAAAAGTCTGCATTATTGAAAGCTTATAAATATTAATAGCACTGCTCTAGATAAGTAGTGAGAGGAAGCTGCCAATGGAGATTTCAAAAGAAAAGTGTTGAAAAAAACACTTTTTGCAGAGTACAAAATATTTTTTATAGATCACCAGAGACAAAGCTTGGCTAGAAGCAGTGATGCCAAGGATACTCTACACCAGGGGTAGGCAACCTTGGCTCTTTTATGACTCATGGACTTCAACTCCCAGAATTCCTGAGCCAGCAGGAAGGTTGCCTACCCCTGCTCTACACACAGTCAAACATAAAGGTTGAGAAAAGCAGATTGTAATTTGCATCATCAAAAGTTAATTTGAAAACGGAACGTTCACAATCAAAGGGATTCACAGAAGAGAAATAAGTGGACTTACTCCAGAAGTCAATAGAAAATCAATCGATATTAATTGCAATAAAAAGGAGCAAAAAGGAAAGCAAAATGCAGTTCTAAAAAATTAAGAAATAATACCTAGAAGTGTATCAAGTACTCACAGTTCAAAGTGTCAGGGCAGCAAATCACCCAGGCTCACAAGCAACAAATATGGCTTCAAAAAACAAGCTGCTTTCAAACAGAGATCTTTATACTATAGGCTGTAGCTACTCCACTATTACTCCACGGGTGCTCATTAAGTCTGATGTGACTGCAAGTCACCTGAGGTATCAAACAACTCTTAGATATAAATAAAGTAGATCTTTATTCTATAAGGCCCTTTCTCTTATATCCAAATATTTTGGTTCCTTTTTCAACTCAGCTATGCCATCAGTCATGTCCAGTGGATGGCTGTACTGGTGAGACTAAGTATCCTCAAAATAACCATTGAACCCCCATCTTTTTTAGTTTTATCTCACTTGAGGCAAAGAGCTATTTAACCCAATGAGTAGAAAAGGTGCACCAAATGCATCTGGTTTATCCCATTTTGAATCAAACAACGTAATGCAGGCTGCAGGGCAAATCTCTATTAAATCCACAGTCTCATATTTTGAATTATATTATGAAAAATAAAGAGGAATGCATATAGATAGAAATAACTTTTCTAATTGTTTGCTATTTATACTTTTTATGGGTGACGCTTTGTTTAAATGTGACATGCAAAAAAATGGGTGGTGTTGCAATTGCACCGTTGGTTATCTTGACATTTTTTTACCATATTCTCTAGATAATCTTGGATAGATGGATGAAAATAACCAAGCCATCTACCCATCCAATATATCTATTTATAACCACATTAGTAGGGTGACATGGTCATAGAATTTATAGTTTTAAAATACATTGTTCAGCATGGTGTCAAACAGAACATAGTCATATCTACAACACTGTATATTTCCTATATTATATGTGGTTTTCTATTTCATCTTGTTTTTCCTTCCTTCCTTTCTTCCTTCAATGCAACTTCATAAATGTTCAGTGAACATTTCTGCCTGGGCAACTTCCAAACGCTAACACTGTTATGGACTTGACAAATGCTTCAACCCCATTTGGTTAGATAGTGGATCCTAGACGTTTCTATCAAGATCAACTTCCTTACTCTCTACATTTGTGAAACTTTCTCTTTGCCACTGCTCCCCTCAAAAAATTTCTTCAACCAGCACTTCAAAGAAACCTATAAATGCCTCCCTCTTGTGTATGGAAAAGGCTATTAGATTTGGCACTTGGATAGCATGTTCGCTGTTCCACTCGAGTTTCTATTGGACTTTTCAATGCTCAGTTGATGCTATTCCATAACAGAGCAAATGAATATACATAGCGTTACTTTGTATTATTGTGCTACCCTACTGATTATAATTATGTTTATGAAAGGAGCTGTTTTGAAACATCTTTATTTACTGCATCTGACTGATACAAGGGTGAGCTGTTTGTTCCTTTGAAATGCTTTATGTGCCTGAATTATTTTAGCAGGATTTGAGAGTGAATAGCTCAATACAAAATGTGCTTCAATTAATAATGGGTGTTTTTGTAACTCATGTATTACTTCATTCCTGACAGTTTTACGGAATGGGGAAAAACAGCGCACAGTGATTGCGTCTCTGGGAAAGAAGCTAGTTCCCTCAAACTGAGTTCCCTCTCGCTTTAACAAGATTTATAAGGCGAAAATAGGACAAGAACATAGGAGCCTTAATCAATCACCATTGATCCAATAACCTATGTCAGTGATGGCAAACCTTTTAGAGACCAAGTGCCCAAACTGCAACCCAAAACCCACTTATTTATTGCAAAGTGCCAGGGCTGCATCAGCATTGTGGTGCCCTCAGGAGCGGAGGGGCATGGCCCACTGAGTGGGCATGGCTGCAGTGGTCACGGCAGACTGGGTGAGCGTGGCCGGGGCCAGGGCAGCAGGGGCCAGTCCCTTGCCATCTCTCGGCATCCCCGGGGGGGCCAACGCCGCTTGCTCGCTCACTTCCTGCCGTTGCTTCCAAACGCCACGTGCTCGCTACTCTGGCGAACTGTAGTGGGGCAACGGCGTGCGTGCCCATAGAGAGAGCTCTGAGTGCCACCTCTGGCACGCGTGCCATAGGTTCGCCACCATTGACCTATGTTATATTAAAGCTGAGATCAGCAAAATTAATTTCTTTATCTCCGTGAAAAACCATGAACAACCCCATTCCTATTTGTAGCTGGTTGTCTGCAGCTTTTTCAAACTATTCCTCTCTCTCCAAATTGTGACATGCAAGCTGAACAAGCCTGAAGCAGGAGTTCCTGCACAATCTCTTTCCTCAAGGCACTGTTGTCTAATGGCCGGAAAGAAAAAATGCCCCCTCAGCAAATTTCATAGAATAGGGATTGAATGCAGGGGCATAGAGACACCCCTGCCTTTCACAGGAAACAAAAAGCTCAGGAAGTGGCTATAGCAAGGAGAAGCCTCAAGGAGTTTGCGGTGTTATTTTAATAAAGGAATCCTTATCATATTTCTGGCTCTATCCAAAATAATTCCTGTTGCATTTCATTGGGTTTCTTCCAAGACCTGGAGGCATAAAATCACATCCTGAATGTGTTAAACGGTTCCTGGCTTTTAATTCTTAGTAGAGAACTAAACCCTGCTAGAAAAATCCAGATGTGCAATGCAATTTACAAGGAGATGCTAAAAGCGTAAATCTGCATTTAGACATATTGCTGTAGTTTGAAGGGCAGGCTTGACCAATTATATTAGGTAATAAATAAATGAATCATGGATGCACAAAATTATTCTTTAAAAAAAAATATTGGGAGGAAAAAAAAATCTGATCTATATGGATCAGTTAGCACCAAGAAGAAATATACCAGGGTGCATTTTGGGTTGGGATGTGTGATACTGGGTGAATTTTGGAGGTATTTTTAAATATGTATTAAGTCATCCAAAATTACTCCAGCAGTGAGATAGGCAGCATATAAATTTAATAAATAAGTAAATAAATAAATAAAATAAATAAATAAAATTTATTTGTAATTCACATTTAAATTTATTCTAGTATAGCAGGAAGATTTAGGTTTTGACAGTTGTATTGCAGGGCCTTCAGACTCTAAAGAGAAAATATCATGGTTTAGAGTCACCTCTAGCTATTTTCCTGTCACTAGCTCTTCAATCAGGCCCACCAGTGGTCTTTCCTCATCTTTTCCAGGGCAACTGAAACAGCTGAGCTGAGAAAAAGCACAAGAGTTAGGCATTTTGATGTTGACAACGTGAGTTGAGGGTCTTGAAAGAAATATAGAAAAGAGAAAGGAAGGTTTAAACAGTCATATGTAGGTCCATCTTCACAGCAGGCTAGGAAAATTATATACTCTCAAATCAGAAATGTACTGTACTTTACAAGTAATTATACATTAAGTATCTGAATACTTTTTACCTTTTTATTTGCCCTTTTCACCTTCCCACTTCTCCATCCCAACTAGGTAAAATATGATTTTTGCTCCTTATAGCTGTGTTCCACAAGATTCTTTAAAGTAGTCCTCTCCTGGGCTAATATTACTAAAATGTTTTAATTTTTTTAAAACAAAAACAAAAAGAGTTAACTTACCTTGGTTGCAAAACTCCAGATGATCCTTAGGTGGCAGAAAAGACAAAAAAAAAGTGGAGTAGCTTGGTTTACTGATTTAAGGTGCTGGACTAGAACTCCCAGTGGCTGGGTAGAGCCACTGGGAATCCTAGTCCTACCTTAGGCATGAAAGCCAACTGGGTGATTTTGGGTCAAATGTCTAGGACAGGGCTTTTCAACCAGTGGTACAGGTACCACCTGTGATACATTGGCACCTGGCAGGTGGTATGCGACCATCCTAGAAAAGTAGTGGGGGAGGGAATGAGCTGAACCAGTGGCAGCACCACACAAGCTGAGCGAGAGATGGCTGGAGCTGCAGGGCTGAGCAGAATTGCCAGGATAGCGCTTCTTTGGGACTGTCAGGGCTCAGCGGAAGCGCCAGGCTCTAGCTGGAGCTCGGCGCTGATCCTGGCGCTTCTGCTGAGCCCAGAAGAAGCACCGATCAGCTGGAACATTGCAGCATCTCCAGGGTCTTGTGATTTACACTCAGATGATTGGCAACTGATTCATATTTATGATGGTCACAGTCCCAGGATCATGTGAAGTGACCAAAACCTGCTGCAACCACCTGGCAGACGGGGGGAATAAAAACCAACCCCCCCCCACCGCTTCCAATCCTCAACAGAAATGCTCACAACAATGAAAACCTCGGACAGGAGGAAGAGCGCTGCCAAATGGGCAGGTGTCTTGCTCGGCGGTGGCTTGGGGGGCACTTTTTTCAGTGCCTTTGTAACCTCAGTCACTAAGCGAACTGTTGTAAGTCGAGGACTACCTATACTTAATCACTTTTTTTCCTTTTTTTTTGGTCATCAAGTTTTTGACACCTTGCTAGGCGACTCGTGGTACTCAGATATTGCCATATCCTAAAAGTGGTACAATGTGTGAAAAGGTTGAAAAGCCCTGGTCTAGGAGATTCTTAGTCATCCAGGTACGGTTGTCCCAAATTTGCTTTTTCAGGAGGCAACTGGACTTTATTGTTTTTCTTTGAAGATGTTTCGCTTCTCATCGAAAAAGCTTCTTCAGCTCTCACTAGATGGTGGGGAGTGGAAGGAATTTTATTTGGGTCAGTCACTTTCTGAGGCCAACTGTCCCCCCCTCAACCGCAGGTTTATTGTTGTGGGGAAAACAGGAGGAGGAAGGTGTGTTGGATATGTTGCTGCTTGAGTTATTTGTAAAAATAATAAAGGCGGCATACAAATTAAATAAATACAATGAAACTGTGGGGAAATCATGATGTACATTGCCTTCGGTTGTTCAAAATAAAGGCAGGATATAATAATTTTATTTTTTAAAAGTAAGCTTTCTTCAAGTGTTCTCCATATTCTCTCCATATAGTATCTCCTTTCTAAGAAGGCTTTCCAGTAATATTTATCTCAAAAAACATATTTTCAATTGGCACTTGATGGTGTGGCCTGAAATTGGGCCATGCGTGTGTTATATCCACACCCCTGGCAGAATAATAATAATAAAAAAATCAGACAATAGCTTATTCAGAGATCCTATGCAAGGACCCCAGACTCATTTTGTGTGATCTGCATTATAACATTTCTCCCTTCAATTTATCATCTTTAGGAGCTTCTCTGGAGGAAGGGCATGGAAACTAATCCATCCAATCAAATATTTGCTAAAATTGACAAGCACAAGCTAATAAGCAAGGAGACCCCCCCCCCCTTTTTAGTGGAATCTCAGAAATAAAAGGGAAATTCTGAATGAGCCTGCAAGGGTGAGCAAGATGGATGCAGCCATTTCTAATCTTTTGTTCAAAAGTTTGCTAAAATGGCCAGACTTGTGTCCTTGTTCAAGGGTGGAACTGCCAGCTCCTTTTCTTGTCTTTGTTTTTTTTCACAATGCCCCTTCTAACGAAACGCAAAGACAGTTTTCTACACAAAATGGAGGGGGCAGGTGGGTGTTGTCGGTGCAGTAAGCAATTATTTCAAGGAAAGCCCAGTTGCCTTGGTTACCAGTCATCAAACTGAGGCCTTTGCGGTCTTGTCAAAATCAGAATTCCTTTTGTCCTCTTCTCCATGGTGAAGAAAGGTTTCTGTGCCAGACAGAAAGCCGAGTGAAGACATGAATGCTTTCCAGATTTGGCTCTGCAGCAGGGTTGAGTTCTTATTGACAAGAAAACTCCTTCTCTAATAGTGAGAAAGAAACCTCTGCTTTATCTATTTATTTCCTGCCTTTAATATTTTTATAAATAACATACCCAACGTATCTTCCTTCTGTTTTTCCCACAATGACAAACCTAAGGTGGGTTGGGCTGAAAGTGAATGTCGCCTTTCATGCCTAGCAATGGAAATTCTCGTCCCAGTTGTGATTGTTAAGTCAAGGACTACCTATATGGGTGATGCTGCTAGCGCAGTCTTCTCCTTAAATGTTCCCTATTTGTTTCACCTGGAGAGGCCAAATTTAGCTTCTAATGGACTACTAAGATGTGGTACAGAGTGAGCCTATCATTGTTGTCAGCCATTTAGTTGTGTCCATTCAGTTGGTCACTCTATGGATCAGCACTCTCCATGCTCCTCTGCTCCAAACTGCCTCCTTCAGATCCACCATAGTTATCCCAGTGTCATCTTTTATAGTGTCCGGTCAGCAGGTACTATATCGTGTCCAGCCAGTAAAGCTATCATTGACTAAATAATTGAAGGTATATTAACAATGATCGTTGGTCTGGTTTATGATGCTGAAGGCAAAAATAAATCGCACAACTGACTTTTTATTCTGCCCTGTAATTTTTAAACTTGTGTTTAGGATTCCACAAATGACTTTGGCTTGCTGTTTAAGACAAACTGGTAAATAAATATCATGCATTCGGTTTAAGTATAGGAGTGAAAATAATAAACCAGTAGAACGACTTGCCTCCAGATGTTGTGGATGCTCCAATACCGGAGGTTTTTAAGAAGAGATTGGACAACCATTTGTCAGAAATGGTATAGTTTTCCTGCTTGAGCGGTGGGTTGGACTAGAAGACCTTCAAGGTCCCTTCCACCTTCATTATTCTGTTAGTCCATCAAGTATTATACTTCCACTACAGATCTAGTATGAACTAGGAAACAGGGAGTGGCCCAAAACCATTGCGATCTTCCTGGATCTGAGGATAGAAATGAACCAGGTTTTCCTCCTAGAAATGCAAGTTTAATCTCTACACTGCAGTAAGAAACAGGAAGGGCAGCTTCCCATTTCTGGCATCTATTCTTGAAATAGCTCTGGCTTTTGTCTTTTT